ATTTTTGTTGACCTTTGTCCATGGAAGGTCCCTGCAAAATTTCATTGAAATTGGTTCAGGGGTTTTGGAGAAGAAGTCGAAAATGTAAATTGTTTACGGACGCACGACGGACGACGGACGACGGACGACGGACAACGACGGACAAAAGGCGATCGCAATAGGTCACTTGAGACTTTGTCTCAGGTGACCTAAAAATTAGACAAAAAAGTCGAGGTATAGTCTATAATGACTGAGCAAAATCAGATTGCTGGAATAACTATCAAAGAAATATAGCAGGACGAGGAAAGAAAGTATGGAAATATTGACTTTTTATCAGTTGTCTATCTTGAAAAACAATCATGTCCTTTATGTTAGTGATAGGTGACACGATAGTATGATATACTGAGAATGTGCTACAGCTATATTTGGACCTAAACTAAAGTGTTCAGAGCACATGCCATTTCAGAGTTTCAAAGTTTTTCGAGTCAGCATGCCCCTTTTTTTTTATTAATGAGGTTGACGTCAGCCGTCTGCCGAGACCTGTGGTGTGATTGGCTGGAACTAACCAACACTGGGCTGACGTCAACCTCATTAACAAAAGTGGCAGGTGGACTGCGAAAAACTTTGGAACTCAGAAATGGCGTGTGCTTTTGGCGGAAACGGAGTTCATGTCCGCGGAAGGAGATTACTTTTTACGTGCATATAGGAAGTTTTTAAAAGAAATTTATCCATCTTTCAGACGGTACTAAGCATTTTCCCGTAGATAAAATAGATAAGAGCTTTCCTCCCTTCTTCTATACATGCTCATTGGGCGTGTCATTTTTACTGAAAGTCTATCAAAACCCTTAAAACAAGTAAAATCACACTGAACTCCTTAGTTTAGGTCCACATATAGCTGTAACAAGCTCTCAAGTCCCTGTGTACCATACCACAAAACCACATCTACACCACATTTCTACACCTCAATACAGTACATCTATATTGTACCACAAAACCACATCTACACCACATTACTACACCTCAATACAGTACATCTATACCGTACCACAAACCCACACCTACACCACATTACTACACCTCAATACANCTCAATACAGTACATCTATACTGTACCACAAAACTACATCTACACCACATTACTACACCTCAATATAGTACATCTATACTGTACCACAAAACCACATTA